TTGTCATGAATGGCATTTTCCTTATGACACGAATTGAAGGCGTTAAGTTGAAAATTACCTAGAATTAAAATCCTATTTAGTACCTGAAACCCAAATCCGGTTTTAACATGATTTATTTCCACGGTACATCTACACATTACCTCGACCCCAATTATCTTCTACAAAGGCTAATGTTAATATTGACATTACTCAATAGAAGATGTGGATAAAATGTAACTGAAGCCTAGTTTTATTGTTGTATAAAAATATGTGATAATATTGTTAATTTCACACCTATAGTGTTCCCTATAGCATAACACAGTAACGGGAAGCTCGAGGTATTAAGGAATATAAAAAGGTCATAAATTATTCTCATTATTTACATTATACTCGTCTGTTATCAAATTAGATCTTGACAATTTAATTATCTCAATCTGCTTGGACAAGTCTTGGCCGGTTTTTTTAAACATCTATTATATATTTTGTAAATGGAATCTTGAAGGGATGGGACTTATTATTTGACACTCAAAAAATATTGACTCAGCGGAAAATAAGTATCAAAATATAAAACGGTGTAAGGCCAATTAGCTATTTCTTCCTGGCCATCATAACTTTTAAACGAGGACAGAGCATATATACCGTTCAGACGCTTATTTTTAAACCAGTTCAAAATCGCCGGTCATGTTGCGTAATGCGTTCACACGTACTATAAGCCAAACTAGTTTAACTATTCTGACCTCTTCGATCGGAGGTTAGAGTTAAGTACGCATGTGTAACTTCATATTCTTTATTCGGTTCTGGCAGCTTTCGATAACACTGGCATTGCATTACGCCGCCATTTTTCCAGGAATGTAACTTACTGGTACTGCGCCGGGGTTTTTAAAGCAAACCCGTTCTGGCGGACACATGGACCAGTTTAAAATAAAAAGCCTTCTCGAAGACAGGTTGAGAGCTGGGGTTTTTAAACTGGTTTATTTGCCCCACATTTGCGTTCAGACGACAAAGTTAAACTGGTTTAACGATCACCGGGTTTTTAAAACCAGTTCAACTTAAGCATCTGAACGGGCTCATAGACTTGACCAATTCTGTCCTATCTGAAACGTACATCATTTATAGACATAATTAATTGTGAAATTAATTTTTTAATCGGGTTCGACCCCGGTGTCTGTGATAGTGGCACAGAACGGGGGGTTTGGCAAGGAAAAGATCTAGTCCTTCGGATTGGACAAAACGGTGGTCCGCTCGTGTACTCGTTAACGTACACATTCAGGAGTTCTTGACAATTTGCATTCGATGACGAGTAGATGGAAACGCCACTGTACGTCTAAAGTTCACCCATAGTATGGAGTATCCTTGTCTTTAATAGCCCGGTTGGTGTAAAATTAACTTATGAATTCGCACCCCACTTTTTTCCAGGGCATAGACACAGTGAGGAGATAAATGATGAAGACTCGTGTTTTTAGTCGCAAAATAAGGAAACTACTATAGGATGGAAAGTGATTGATTTTGTTATCTATGAATCAGTCGGTGGGTTGATGTTATATAATATTATATATATCTATTGGGTGTGTTATATATTGTCTTAAAGATCAATAACCTGATATACGTTGATTAATAAGATCGATAACCGATGTATATAATTAGCAAGGTATGATAGTGACATGATATATACATGTCCAGGATTAAACCATGGCGACGTCTTGATTTCACCCGACGGCTAATTCCTACTGAGTTTAAACTTTAATACATGGAGATACAGACATGGTGTCATCGTATTTTGTAGATATCAATCATCACAAGGATATTTAAGATAGCCATCTTGCATTCCTTTTCACATTTTTTATCTCAAAATTTCGGAATTTTCAAATGAACTTTTAACATTCAGATGCAAATGGTCAGCATTTAAATAATATAAGACAATTCATTACGACTGAAGATGTCGCTCTATTTCAAACATTTAATTAAAGTGGTCTAAAATTAGAATCACCTGTTTTTAAAAACGGTTACTTTTTAGTGGTCAAATCGAATGCTGATTTTACAATATGATTGATATTCTAATATGCGATCAGCTGAACATTTGTAGACATTTTAAAGATATTTGTAGATACTGTTAATCTTTCAAATGTATTATTTTATACGATACGAAAAAAACCCAGGTCAAATTAAACTGGCTTAGTTGACATGGAATAAGCAAAATTTAAAAATAAAGTGAGTTCCAATACCTTAAACAAATTAAAACTATTCTAAATCGAATATATCTATGAGAACTTTCATATCATATCGTGGAGTTCACCTGAACTGTACACCCTGTAATGTACATTTACAATTTTGACATTTTAAGATCTTGAGCCTATATCTTAACATGTCTATTTTACATTATCATGGTAATCTCGGGTTTTTAGGTTTCCCTAAACTTACCATCAGATAAGAGATATATAAGTTGTCCGGGATTTTTTTTATGGAGGTGTCTTACCGATGGGGTCGAGGTCATAAATTTGTAATCATTTCAGTTTCGTATTTAATATACATAACTAATATAAGCACAGATTGCAGATTGGAAAATACCACACTTTTGCAATCGGGGGCCGCGGTGGCTCGGGGATTAAGATGTTGGCTTGCTAACCTGGAGGTCCCGCGTTCGATCCCGGTGTTGGCAGACTTGGTACCCTCTTGTCAGTGGTACAGGACGGAGGGCCTGGCAAGGAACAAAGTATAGTCATTCGGATGGTACGAAAAGCGGAGGTCCTGTGTGCACGATGGCGTGCACGTAGAAGAACCCTTGGCATTTAGAATTCGAAATAGTAGGCCGTAGTGCCGCTGCCCAGGCACAATTCCCCTCATAACACACTGTATGGCGTGTGCCCGTCTTCATTAGCCCAGTTGGTGTAGAACAGTAGAACGTTAAACCCTATTTCATTACATTTCTTTTGACTGCATATTTTTCAAAATACAGGTTCATTCCAGTTTCGTATTTAATATTACTAAATTGCAGCATGAGATGGTTTGAAATGTTTCTACGGCACCCAATTAGTTTTTATGCAAATATTGAATGTATGTCGTCACTTCCTGTTTTGTACTTAAATGTAAATACCACACTCGATAATTTCGTGTGACATTTTGACTGTGCATTCTTTTCCAAATACTAATCTGAAAAACAGCTTCTGTTCCGTTTGTTTTATAGATTTTTTTGATGTCTTTTGACACCCTCTTCCGATTTCAAGTAACCTTTGGTTTAAAGTGTGTGTACTTGACACATTGTTTTATATTTTGGTAAAGTTTAAGATATGTCATGCGCTGTGTTTATTGCTATATAGTAGTTGAAGTGTTTACTTACTGCTCATCTTTCATTCTCTTAACGGTCATTTTCACTTGTCACAGTTTGATAGCTGGGGCCTTATTAATTCCAGATGTTACCATACAGGAGAGTTGTCTAAAGATTCCAGTTATCCCATTCCCTGGAGTCTTTTCCCAGTGGTCAGCTACATTTGGCATTTTCCCATGTCTTTCTGATCTTGAAATGAGGTCGTATTTTGACGTTGCTGTCCGTCCGTAATTCGTCTACAATTTTTTTATTTTTGTCATCAGCCCTAGACTATTAATCCAATTGTATTTACAAATTCAGTATGTTGTTAAACGTAGTCAGGGCTTTTAAAAGTCCAGTGGTTTGTTCTCTTTGTAAAATCTTAGGAATGCTCTAGCTACAGTATCCGATCAGCTTGAATGTGAATTGTTGAGCCTATTGCAATGCAGAAGCCTATAGATCTCGTGATGGACTAATGTGCACGAATTATAGCCGGATTATTCTTTTTGCAAATAACCGATGCCACCTCTCACTTAATTTGGAAAGTTCATATAGTTTGCACATTTGTTGTTTCTACCTTATTAAGCCCTTGATCGCCGAGTTCCTGAACATTTCGCAACTTCAAAACTGGGTTTTGACGATTAAATTCAGTTTCAATTGTAATACAGGACTTAATTTGTTAAATATATACGTTGTTGGCTTACAATTTGTAAATATATATATACGTCATGAGCTTACATTTAAAAAAAAATATATGTTATGGGCTTACATTTTTTAAATATACCTTATGGGCTTACATTTTTTAAATATACGTTATGGGCTGATATTTTTTAAATATACGTTATGGGCTTACAATTTTTAAATATATACGTTATGGGCTTACATTTTTTAAATATATACGTTATGGGCTTACATTTTTTAAATATATACGTTATGGGCTTACATTTTTTAAATATATACGTTATGGGCTTACATTTGTGAAATATATGGGTTAAATTTGTAAAATATATACCTTATGGGCTTACATTTGCTCAAAATGTTTCTATTATTCTATATAGAATCTTTTACGGTTTGTAAATAGATCTTATCACAAAACGAGCTCGATTCAACACCAATACCGACAAACCATTCACTCATTATAATGGTAACTCGCCCAGATCTAATTACAGAACTCACGTCAAGAATAATATTTTTATAAACATGTATAAAGGGACCATGATTCTCTCGGTGTTTATGTTACGTGCTATCTGTTTATTTAATTTATCTAGCTACCAGTGGTCAGTAAGTCGAACTAATACGGCTAGATCTAATTCTTAAGGCCAGCTGAAGATTTCGTCAAGGTCGCTGAGATGTAAATAAGGTTAGGGCACGTGATTGTTGGCGAGATGGTAGGTTAGGGTTAGGGTGAGCGTTAGGGCTAGGTCCAAGGCAAGGGTTAGGGTTGGAATTAGCGCTAACCCTGTTTACATCTCGTGACCTTTGACCAAACATGAAGTTGGCCTTATCAAATAGATATAGCCGACTAATACCAAATACTGGCCAGTAGCTAAGTAACATCATAACTTGAACCGTGCACTATGACCTTTATGTAGGTATAACTCCAGTGTAGATATATATATATATACTGTTATTATTATATACAATACCACGACACTTGAGACGTTATCGGGATTTTCTTTAATGCTGTGATAATATTGGAGTAGACATCTGATAATTGCAGCTCTTTCTGTCTGGACTAGTTTTCTTTAACGGATCATGCGAGACATTGGAGTACAATAATCACAGAATACTTGTTTTAACAACGGAAAACCAACATTAGATATAATCATACCTGTAAGTAACACTGATTATTTTGATCTCATCATCTTTAATATAAGTAGTATATGGAATTTTTATTGGTTATCAGATTAAAATTTCGTTTCGTTTGTTTTGCTATTTTTTTTACAGTGAAAAAATAAACCGAAACGTAATTTACGTCTGACGCATGGTTAGTGCTAAATGATAAGGTCAGCTCAATTTTCGCCAAAAATCACGCACCCTAACCTTAATTGGGTCTCCCACCTTAATTACATCTAAATGACTTTGACAAAAATTGAGCTGGCCTGACGGATTGACAGATTTATCTAAAATGTGAAATCACAAAATTATATACTTAATGACTACTAAAATACATAATAATAAAAAATACATATTTTAATAACCACCGCTATCCACCTGTTGTTCATAAATAAATAATACAAGATGACATGCATCATGGATCTGCCATGTGATTTCCAACAATCATGACACTGAAATGCCTGGTAATTACAATCGACAAGTAAAGGTTGTACAAGTTCGCAAACTTTCCACCGCTTTTCTTTTGTATCTTTATAATCATTATGCACATGCGTAGATAACATTCCTCGTCGATTATAAAAGATGTTAGTCAATTAATTGATGATAAAATATAATCTTTATTATTATTATGCTCATTCGTCTCGGTGGGTATTTTAAAAAATGATGTCTTTGGTTGTTCTTATCGGTAAGCATCTGTCAATAAAACTAAGCCTTGTACACGCAGAGAAAGATTACCGTCCATTATTATTTGGTCCTTGAAAAAATTAATGTTCATGGTAGGATTTGTAAATTTAAAAGTGGTCAATCCGTCATTTAATACCCATGTGAAACGTTCGATTTATCACACTGGTCAATTGACCTTCACGGCCAAATAATAACCCGAGGTTAAGAATTCGTGATGTTTTTGGTAGAGATACAGAAGTCCCCTGATCCCGACTCTAACCAGCTGTTGGTACGCTTTAAGAATTTGATAATAGATTAAATACTCGGGGTCAGGGGTCAGCGGTGATTTCTTTGATCTTTGGTGCGAACTCTTCTTGTTTTATTCAATCAGTTGATAGACAACAACCAGGATCAGATCTTTAAATTTATTTTTGCTGTTAAATGACCACTATCTCTCCTTATTTTTAAACTCTCGAATATCATTCATTTTAACTCTCTAATTTCCGGAAATTAATTTTCCATATAAAAGGAAGCCGGTCTGGACATGGGAAGCATTTTAGTGGAACACAGGAGATCATGGCTAAATCTATTTGTTAAGATCGCTGAGGTGTAAATAGGGCTAGGACACGTGATTGTTGGTGAGATTGTAGGTTAGGGTTAGGGAAAGCATTGGGGTTAGGTCCAGGGTTAGGGTTAGGGTTGGGATTAGCGCTAGCCCTGTTTACATCTCGTGATATATGACGAAAAATTAAGCTGGCTTTATCATTTAACACTTACCGGAGATCATTAGACTTCTGAATTAGAAAATGTTAAAGACGCATTATGTATGATTTCGATAAAGAGCTGACATTTCTTGCTATAACAGTTCAACAAAAGATAACGAAAAATGAATATACCAGTCAAATTACTTTATTCTGGGCGAAGTTATGAGTGTTTGAAGTTTTGAGAATATAGTCTTGATTGTCAATTATCATTGCTACGGTAATAAACAAAGTCTCGATTATCCTTTTAGATGTGATGTTAAATTATTACATGGCGCGATTCAAATTCATTCCATATCACGACCACCAGATAATCTAGAGAGTTGATTGTGACTTGGGGTGCATCTTTAATATGTATCCCGATCGTTAAACATTGCTGCTAAATGTTAGGTAGCCCGACTGCTGGATCTTAGACTAAGGTCAGTCGTATTTTATGGCACCTACTAGTATTTATCGTTATATCTCGGATTGTGCTCCCAGTTTGTTCTATCTTGTGTGCTGTGTGGTCACCCTGCACTTAGCTCGTATATGACTCTAGTAGATTATTTATTTTTATTATCTCTTTAAGTATTATAGAAAATCTCACACCTACTAGTATTTATCGTTATATCTCTGTTTGTGCTCCCACCTTTTTTTTATCTTGTGCGCTGTGTGGTCATCCTGCATTTATCTCGTACATGTATATGACACATTATCTTTTTATTATCTTTTAAAGTGTATCATAGAAAATCCCACACATACTAGTATTTATCGTTATATCTCTGTTTGTGCTTCCAGTTTGTTTTATCTTGTGTGCTGTGTGGTCATCCTGCACTTATCTCGTATATGACACTAGTAGATTATTTCTTATTATCTTTTTAAGTGTTATCATAGAAAATCCCACATCATTAGTTAAATGGTAGATTTTTTTCTTTCATAGAAAAACAACTCGACATGCCTGGTACAGATTAGTTTGACCTTTCATACAAATCTCTACCTAGGCATCACTCAAGGTCAATATTCACGCCAGTGTCCACTTCAGATGACCCTTCAAACGATTAAAATACAAAACGACTAATGTATTTTTCTAATAAGAGGATAGAGACACCTGCTTCCGGTCAATTTAATCGGCCATTAATCACCGTGGGTTTTTCTAGATGACCAACAACAAAAACATTTTAATCAGCAAAAATGCTTTTATTAGTTTTAATCTTCAGGGTTTGATTCATCCGCTGTCACGGGATGGGTGAGGGAAAGTCTTAAACTAAACTTTTGATGGACTTTGTGAGGGCATAAAATGTGGATAAAGGGGATTTAGAGATAATGCCGTGATTTATAATTTGTACTTTTTGTAAATAACGACTTATTTCAAATAGGATGGTCCCAGTAACAAAAATCACAGAAAACTATAATCAATTTTTTTTGTGCTTGACAACTATAAGAGAAACAGTTCAGTTGTCGAACGAACCTGTGATTATTTTCCATCATCAATCTGATTAAATTTTGTTTTTTTCATACTCCCGATGGCCTTTGTAGTGAAATAAATCGAAATTTTGAACTATAAAAATATTAAACGAAAAAGGATCAGATTGATTTTCCAATAAAATTGTGTTTTGTGTTGTGTTTTTTCCAGATGACCATTCTGGTCCAGCAAAGCACAACACGCGTGTTTTCTCTATTAGTCTCTTTGAAGCGGAACTGAAAGAAACTTTATTAAATGCATTATTTTCTTTAATTTTAGCTTTCTTTGTATATAGGAATGCTCTGGATTTCAAAAGAATTTCCCTATTATTGGTCTCTTTGAGCCGGAATTGAAAAGAAGGGTTTATTAAATCGTATAAATTCTAGTCTATGCTTTCTCTGTGCATATGAGAATGCTCTTTTCTGTCTTCATTGTATTTTATTGGTCTGCTCCACGCATACAAAAAGAAAGTTATTGGCGATTCTGTTTACTGAATTGTTCTTCCTTCAAGTATTCGCCGTATGAGGAATTTCTCACACGTGCTTATTGTTATTGTATTATGTTTCTCATAAATGAACGTGGTGATATTCCTACTTGAAAGTTATTGACACGCTCCTCGTGAATAATCTATGCAGCACGCGACTATATTATAGGTTATGGTATATATTAATCGCACCTGTCTAGAACTGACCAATCATGAGTCACAGATCTATATAACGGTATTACTGTTCTGAGATTCACAATGGCTTATTCATTTAACAGAATTAAATTTGGTCTTCTATAAATATTTAGAAAGTTTCGGAAATGTTGGCTGCTTTATAAAGAGCCTAAAAAATTTCGTTCGCGGAGGAAAAATTTGTATTAGTAAACGGGAGTTGTTGACTTTTGGGGAAGGCCTTCTGGGACTATTTTTTTCATAAAGTTTGCCTTACACAAGGAGGGCGCGTTTGGTTACAATGAAGGTACTAGAGACAACACGAGGACAATGCCGTTCCTTCTTCAAAGTTCAAACGAACTCATTTATTTAGTTTTTCAATTGCTTTACCAACAAAATTCCAGACATGATGATAGAGGCACTTTATCTTGTTAAGGAGGCGCGTGTTGTTCGCGTGACCATAAACTGAAAGGGGTCTTCCAATGGGAGGGAATCCTGACCCCAAAACAATACCCTAACAAAAAGACACAATTGACCCCTGGGTCACCAACTGTCCCCGAAATTACACCTGCTGAAAATAACCCCGTATATCCAATGAGGATTGTCCTCTTAGAAACTCGATCTCGTAATGTTTCTAAAAGTTTGCTTAAGTACATAATCCTGATTCCTTTAAAGATTCTTATTACACTTTTACACAATAGATACCATAGCCATAGCTTTATTTTCTGTCTCTATTGAATGAAGGCAAGGAACAACTTAACAATGGCTGAATAGACAATTAGGACGAAGAGCATTTTTCTGAAATTGGTTTATCATGGATCCAATTATTAGGTTCATGATTATTTTGTAACCGTAACCGAGCTATGTATACAGATTTTGTTCTTTTGGCGTAGAATTTCATATGTAGCTGGGATGTTCGAAACCTTACCCCCACCCCCCTTTCACCGTAAAAAATCTAAAATGTTTACGTGCGATTGTTTATTTAAAAACTAGAGCTAGATACCAGTTCCCGTTCTATTACAGATGTTACAGACAGCAGCCTACAAGGTTTCAGTGGCATTTAGTAATTGAACTGGAACTACACAAGTCACAATTCTGTAAATTACAATTACTGCTTATTACTGAGCGATGTTTCGACTAGGCTTCTCTAGTCATTATCAAGCAATGATGAAATATAAAATGTGATGGGATAATATATACATGTAAAACAATACATGGTTAATAATGGCCAATTATTATGAAAATAAGAGTAGTGTTATGAAGTTTGAGATTCTAAAACTGCTCCAAGACGGGTAACTTTTATTTTACCGCGAAACACGTGCCTATACTTGATCTGCTTATTTGAAAACATCAACAATATATTTCTCTTACAGAAATAAATTGAACGCCTACAATGATTGGAATCCCGCAGGGTGAATGGTAATCTACTGAAATCGTGTACCAGGGGGTCCAAGGATCTCTTTGTTAATATTATGAG